GGCGGGGACATAAGGGTTTAACAGAATACTAAACCAAACTCAGATATTTGATTTTTCTCAAGTTCAGTTGTATTACAGATGTTATACTCATGCACGTGGAACATTTCTTTGTTTCTATCAACAGATCCCAAAGAAAGGTGACCTAGCTCAAGACATGCTTATTTTCAAGAGATGCCACTGAAAACAGTGGAAAGCACATATTGTAAGAGAAAATTAAGAGTTTTTCTATACTGATGTCACTATCAAAATTAAAGAACTGGTTAAAGTACAACAGAAGCCTACATCAACAGTGTTGCAGTTCTCTACCGCTTGCTAAGACTTACCTTGCATAGTATGTTTAATATTAATTCTAATCAGCAGCTTTTCTTGAGAACTGATTTTCTATAGATAAACTTAACATTATTCCAATTTAAGAAACTAATAAACATTTAGAGCTTCAAATTCAAAACCTTTTTTAAATTGAATGTGGGACTCAGTGTCATGCTTGGAAGGTTCAGATGCTCAGCACCTTTGAAAATTACTAGGTTACAACTTCACTTCAAGACTTACCCAAGAGAGATTTTTTTCATTTCGATAGCTTTTCCAACCAGGAATGCTTCAAGTATGATGTCTATTGGCATGGACCTGTAGAGGCTGCCTTAAGTCACTGAGTGAGCCAGACAAATGATTAGATCTTCAAGGATAAGACCTCTAGACATCTTCACTGGAATCACGAGAATCAGCTAAAGTAAAGCTGCCCACTATCTGTATAATTATTCCAAGTACAATACAAGTTGCACACATTTTGTTTTGATTTTAAGATGTTTGACACATGTTGTATTCTACAGACAGCCAGAAAAGTTATATTAGAAATAGTAAATTTTATTTAATTCATAGTTAAGTTTTTATACAAGACTAGACTACTTATTACAAAATAACTTACAAGTTTTTAAAATTTTACTACATTTATGACATTATACACTTTGTATACATTCATTTTGATATAGCATATTCTTTGAAAGTATAGGTGGGAGCACAGCATATTTGAAATACTGAATACTTATAAACTATACCAACAGTTACCAGAAGCCATGGATTGCTCCTTTCTAAAATGCCAACAGATGTTCCCTTTGTTTGCAAAGATCTAACACATACACAGAAACAAGACACCCAGGAACTGGGGGTAAGGGGGGGCAGTTTTGGAATGTGTTCCTTTGAAGTTATAAAAAATAATTTAGGAATGAGAAATTTTCAGAGAAACTACCCATCTTCAATCTAGTAACCAAGCACACCCTGCTCTTAGTTTACATCCACATTGTTAATAGAATTGCTACGGCAATTTATAGTCATTCTGAAATGACGTTGTGAAAACCCTAGACCACTATTAACTATAGTCCCAATGAAAATTCAGGCTCCAAAGTTTCAGATCAAGTTACTACCACATTTAAATTTGGTGGCATTTCTGAGCATAAAATAAACATGAACAGCATGAGCCCTAGTTAATATAGCCATAATGGCTCGTGAAATAAGAAAGATGCACTACTTAAATCTAACATGTATGTACAGTAATAATTTACTTGTATCTTGTTTGCTGCATGATACAATCTTTAAGGCACAACATTAAATTATTCAGATTTGTTCTGAAAAAAAAAAAGAGTTTTATTGTTGAGGACATTGCATTTCAGAAGATTCTTTAGAAGACACATATAGTGTAGTGTATGTTTTCTTTCGCATTTTCTTCTCAGACTTGATTGCATTTTCTTTCATGTCTTCATTTTCCACAGTTTCAAGTCTGGATTCAGCTGTTAACCTACAGGCAAAGTAGCCATGCTAAATATATACTGAGTTAATAAAAATTAAAAGAAAAAAACACCACCACACACAAGACTGAGACAAACAGTCTCAATAAGCAGCATCAATAAGCCCACTAGAATATCAAATTATTTATCTGCTAGAGAAAGAATTAGTACTTAAAAAAATAATAACGATCAAATTTTAAGTTTTGAATTTACATAACACTGTTTCCCATATTTTGCCATTCTCCAAATCTTACTCGTCAGTTCAGGTCTCATATATTCCTTCAGTTTGACCTGTTGTAGAAAATGGAAACTGGTTGTGAACAGCCTTGAAACTGTTAGTCATCTTTGCTCCATGCACAGTGGAAATTAAATGAAAAAAAAAGTTAAGGGAAAGCTAGCTATTAGCTCTTAACCATTATTAGATTGTGGAGTCTGAGAAGAGCAATACAAGAACACTATTTGTATTGAGAAATTGAGAAAGTGTCAAATTCTGTGCAAACAAGCTTCAATTTAGACCCTCTCATTTATCATATGTATGAATTAGACTGATCGTCCCATCAATTTTTATTTACTCAGACTCACTTTTATAATTCGCCAGTCCAATATTTCAGTCCAGGTGCACTCAAAGCAAGCTGTTGCCTGCAACACTGATGTTCAAAAGCTAAGCAGAAACATTAGTTTTCAGACTCTCAAGCTACAGCTACATAGATTTTAGACTGCATAATATTAAATCTTTAACCTGATATTTATACAAATGCTCAGGTTATGACATTGTGTGGGGCAGGTGCTGGGTAAGTGCTATCTATAGAGTTTGCAATAAGCTCCAGAACCTACTTTGGCAATTTATTGACTTAACTTGACTACTACACATCAGTGCAGTCACAAAACTGGATGTAGGGAGACCAAATCAAAAAAAGGTCTTCATTTAATGATTCACTTCATAGGAATACACCTGGCTCCCCATTAACCCTTCATTACAAACCAATTATCAACATCTTTATACAGTATAGGCTTCTATCAACTGTTTGGAGACACCTTACTCCAACTGGTCATTTTCCACATCACAGCCATTTTCAACAAAAACAGCTTTCCTCACATTCTTTACTTCACACAAACTGAAGCTATTGAAGTTGCCAGTATAAAAAGTGTCACAGCAAGGGACAATCACCATAGGAGCCATACAGGTATGGCATTAAATCTGAAGGTTTGGCCAGAGCATAAACCCCAACTTCTGGAATATTCATTCTCTATCCCATCTCTCTATCCCCAGCACCCCGCTATATATTGGCATGATGCACATAAACATACCCCTCAACCTCAACTAGGATGAGAGCTCCCTCTTTGCATACTTGCCTCGTGTCAAAGTTGATCAAAGAGTCCACCATACAGCCAAATTAACCTCAAATCTAAGACCAGTTTGTTTTCTTTTTCGTTTAGCCCTATAGAACAAGCATTTTCTTATTAATTAGATTTATATTACTCATTAGCTTTCCCTGCTAACTTCAGTTAATGTCCTGTGGACCAACATTTTTGTAATTATGTCTGGAATAATTAAAAACCAGGATAAAAAATGTATAACGTAGATATATATCATAGATATCTTCTATGGTTTAGATCATATATGCACTTTGTTGTGTGTTAAGTTTTTCAACCTAAAATACAGTAGGCTGATTTTGTCAAGGTGGGACTATATATATTTACAGTATATCAGCCTACTGTATTTTCGTTTTTGGTTGAAGAACTTTATCTATCTGTATATAGATATCTATCTATATATAGATATAAATAAATAAATAAAAGCCCAGAAGTTTGTTCCTACAAAGTTGATTTTTTTTTAATTTAGATCTTCATGTCCTAAGATACAGGTTTTAAAATACACTGAAGAACAGCATGAACAGTGATGACAGTTGTCATTTGTCCCCGTAACGTAATACGATGACAGCTACCTAAAATGTCTTAACTGGAAAACTAAGAACAATTTTTGGTTTCTTCAACTATTTTTAATTCTGGAGTTCCATAAATAAGGTGCCACAGAAGTACAAGCAGGATCATCCAGAAGAATGATCATTCATTGTAGACACTGCTATTCCAAATTACTCACAAGTAGTGTCATCTAAAAATTTCCAGTTCTTCCAACAAGTGTTGGGATATTACAATATAAAGAAAAACAAAGGAGGGTGATCAAGCAAATCAAGATTAAAGTGATACAGAACTTCAGTTAATACCTAACCTTTGCTTTTTCCTTCACAGAAGTTCCTCTGAGGGGCCCTGTTTTATGTACTATGTTGTGTAACAGTAACAAGCCTATTGGAGAGCTTAAGTATGAAGTGAACAGGAGCAGAAATATTGCCACCAAAAAATCCAATCTAGATCAAAAATAGGGAAAGATGATTCTCACAAAGGAATTATTTCTACCTCCAAGTACATTATCAATTTTTTTTTTTTTTATACACCAAGAAATATTTCCTTGCTATAAGGGAGATGCAGATAAATTCACCTCTATATGTTTCAGTATAAAATCTGACTGAATTTTGGAAGGTTTTAATGAAAGCCCTAGTTTTGTATTTCATCTTTTAGAACCACAAAGTAAAGGAATTAAGTGGAGTGACAGATTTGCTTAGGATCAGGGTTTGGCAACCTAAAACCTGTGGGGCAGCACACAGCACTGAAGGCATCAGTAATATGCCTGACTTAGAGGGAATGTACCCAGCTCTACCCTGGAGCATCCCCTTTTCCTGCCCCGAGTTGTACATTGATATGCTCCTGAACTGTGATGACTGTTTTCTTTCACCCCAGCTACTGAAGCCACTGCATACTTTCACCCACAAATTAGATACCGACCATTGCCTCTAGCCATGGTAGCGGTGCGGGGTGCAGCCAGCAGCACTTGGTGGTGTTATTAAAATGGAGGCTACGGTAGGAAGAGACAAGAACAAGGAAAGACTGGGGTGGCAGCACGTAGCTGTGGCACCTGCAGAGGGGAACACCGCAAAAAGTTGAATTGTGCTGCAGCAGACAAAGTAGACCAGTAGGGGGAAGCCTGGCTGGACCTACATATGAAATTTAAATTGCTAAATTGTAATAACAGTTGCAGCTTGCACAAGAATGCAAGAAAGATTGTTACTGGGGCCATTTGAAAAAAAGCAATTATAACTGATATTATCTCCCATGCTGGTTTAGGATACACCTCATGTTTAACTATGATAAACTCTACGTGGATAACTGCCCCTCCCTTGGTGATTGTCTCTTCCTTATTGACATGACCTTCCCTGATGGATTCATATTTCTCAGAGCAGACAGAGAATGTCCATCTAGCATTTTGATCCATCTCCATAGATCCATACCAGTCAAGGATATTTGGGGCTTTGCCCCACATTAAAACAATTCCCTAAAGAGTGACTTCTGATCAATGTCTCAAGGTGTCCGATTCAGTCAACCAAGTCTCATCTCAGTTGATCAAATTGTAACCTCTGGACCGATCAAGAGTTTGCGAAAGCAAGTTTCGTAACCAAACAGGATCTGAGGGACTAACAATTGTAACCTAACTAAAATATGAGGGACCCCATCTTATCTGCTTTGTTGGGGCTTTGGTCATCAATCTATCAAGAAAGAATGCTTTGAAGGTATACACTTGAAGAGTATAAAAGAGAAATGGACTTGCTGGCAAGGTGTGCTCCAAGAAAGAGAAATCACTCACTGCAACACCATAATCTATACCAAGCTGATCACCCTCAGCGATGGATCAATGCCCAGTAAAGGGTGTAAAGACTGAGACCACTTTCTTGCCTGTATTGGTGAGATATACTACTACAGCTAAAATATACTGGACTTTAATAATAGTTCATTTATTTGAATAATGAGAAAGCCTTTCTTTCATTTTGTTTAAAGCTTGTTTTGTGGTATAGTTAATAAAAAAGACTTTTGCCATTCATTGAATGAGGTGTCGTGTGAATCCCTATATGCACTAGAGTCAAAATCTTATTCTTAAATGCAACAGTGCTCACTAGGGTTTCATACACACATTTAGTTTCTCCTGGGACAGCTGCTGCTCTCCCAGAGGAAACCATGAGTGTACAGGTGGCTCAGGCCTTTTTCCCCCCAGAGTAAAAATGGTTGCTCCAAGAGAAAAATAACTTGGGAACAACTTAGGTTAAATCACTCCTCGGAGAGCAAATGTCTGTACATGCTGCTCCGAGTAAGTTTTCTACCAGGAGAACACACCTGGGAGAATTTTTCCCAATTATTTGAATGTGTATACACATGATTTGGGAAATGCATCTGCTCAGCATTTAGTTACACCTCTGCACAGCATTGGAGAGGGGAGCCTCGTAGGGAGGGTGGAGGAGGGGCTGGAAATTGGCAGCCTGCAGTAACAGCCAAGTTGCAAGCAGCAGCCCACCACTGGTAAAAGGTTGTCTCGCCCTGCCTTATACCAGAGGTATTAGAATTAAGACACTGTCTGTCATCCAAGTGAAGCTGCTTGCATTCAAAATATCTCCTGACCATAGTTCCATTGTACTCGCTTTTAAAGCACAAATGAAGACTACCCCTAGGACAGGATAGATTATTTTAACCGTGAGCAGTCTAGGCACTTTATATCCATGGGTTTAATAAGATAATCAAAAGCCAGTAACTTGTTAATTCTGAAGCAAGTAACAACTGGCTTCCCTTAATAGGAGGAACTAGCAATGCTCTGATCACCCTTTATCCAAGTTATAAAGAACACAACAGCTAGGCAATCACAGCAATTAAGTCTCAGCCTCTAGCTACGTTCTCTTATTATAGATCTTTTCTGAACCATCTCAGGCAGTAAGTTATTACTTCTGACAGTTATGAATTGTACATGCAGCTTTTTTAGTTCTCTGAAAAGTAATGCTATAGTGTCAGAGGTACAGATGAGAACTGTATTTCTTACAGCTAACAGCTACTCCAAAAACAAACAAAACACACCCTTCAGGCTCCAAGGCTGCCTTTTCCATTTTAGTTCAGAAGACAACGATTTTTTTCTTGG